ATACAGTGATACCTCGGTTCTCGAACACCTCGGTTTTCGACCAAATCGGTATTCGACCAGGAGATTCGAGAAACTTTTGTTTCGGAACCCGAACAAATATTTGGAACTCGAACTTCCGAGATGAGCCGAGTTGAGCCGAATGGCGTTCATTCGGCCCAGCGCGCCTTGCTTGCGTCATCAGTGTGAGTGCAGAGAGAGAGTCACGCTTTGTGGAGTCACGCTTTCCTATTGGGTTTCATTGCTTCGGTTCTCGACCGTCCTCCTGGAACGAATTATGTTCGAGAACCGAGGTATCACTGTAGATAGAAAGGACAAAGACAATAACAACAAAAAACTAACTTAAGTCATAACATTAATAGTCATAATAAATGCAAATTGTCAAAATATACCAAAAGACATATTTACAGAGTTGCCTTTAAAAATAAAAGACCCAACTATATCCTATCTCCAGGAAACTTCAAATGTAAAAATATAGGTAGGTAGTAAATGAGTGGAAAAGGATAGATCATGGAAACATTAAAAGAAACAGGAGTAGCTATCAGATACAGTAGACTTCAAAGAGAAAAAAAAAAAATACCAGAGGTACAATTCTATAATGACAAAAAGCAACTCCACCAAGAAGACAGTGAATACTAAATGTGCATGAACCAGAGCTGCAAAATATGTGAAGTAAAAACTGATAGAATTCAAAGGAGAAATATACAAATTCACAATTGTTGGAGACTTCACACTTGTGTCCTAACAAGTGATAGAAGAATTAGAAAATTAGAAAAGATACATAACTCGATAGAATCTAGTCAACATTCACTGAACACTCCACCCAAGAAGAGTACCTAAATACATTGTTTTCAAGTGGTCATTGAACATATACCAAGATGGAGTGTAATCCTGGGCCATAAAATAAACCTCAACAAATTTGTAAAAGTTGAAATTATACAGAATGAGTTTGTCAGCCACTGTAGAATTAAATTAGAAATCAGTAACAGAAAAGTAGCAAAGAAATCTTCAAATGAAATGACACATTTTAAAATAATTCATGAGTCAAAGAGGAAATTTTAATGAAAAAACAATTTCAAAAAAATAAATTGACCTGAATGAAAACGAACGTGAAACATTAAAACATTTAGGACACAGCTAAAAGTGCTCAGAAGAAAATTTGTAGCACTAAATGCATTAATTAGAAAAGAAGAAATGTGTCAAATAATCTTAACTCAGAAAGAGGGGATCAAAATAAACCCAAAGCAAGCAGAGGAAAGGAAATAAAGGTAAGAGCAGAAACCAAATGAAATTGAAAACAAAAACAATAGAGAAAATCAGGAAAATAAAGAGCTGTTTCTTTGAGAAGATTAATAAGTTGACAAACTTTTAGCTAAACTGACAAAAAAGGACACAAATTACCTATATCGGGAATGAAACAATATTAGTACAGACCTTACAAACATCAGAAGGTTAATAAGGTAATCTTACTAGCTTATATAGAGGTAAACAATTCTACCCAAATAAGTTTGACAAAGAGATGAAATAGGCACATACTACCATAACTCTGTCTATGTGAAATAGATAATTTAAACAGTCATGTAACTATTAAGAAAACTAAATTCGTAATTTAAAAATTCCCTCAAAGAATGATTTCACTGGAGAAGTCTACCAGGTGCTTAAAAAAAAAAAAAAGAAAGAAAACCAACTCTGCGCAATGTCTTCCAGAAAATGGAAGAAGAGGGATGTTAACTACTAGTGGTGGGAACTGGGTAAAGGGTACTACACAGGGTCTCTCTGTATTATTCCTTACAGCTGCATGTAAACCTACCACTATCTAAATATAAGTTAATTAAAAACAACAACAACAAAAAAACAGAGAAAAGATATTATACAGAAGAACAAAGATAAGAATGACAGCAGATTTCTTTTTGGAAATAATATAAGCCCAAAGACAATAAAGCAATATCTTTAAAATTCTGAAAGAAAAAAAATTTAAGCTATTTGGTTGCAGACCCTATACTCTTTTTTTTTTTTTTATCCTCACTCAAGGACATTTTTCGATATTTTGTTCAGATAGAGTGGGGGGGGGGAGAAACAATGACATGCAAGGGACACATTAAGTGGCTGCCATGCACACAACCCAACCAGGGCCAGAGACAAACTACAACCGAGGTACGTGCCCTTAGCAGGAACTGAACCCGGGTTTCTCTGGACCGCAGGCCAATGCTCTAACTGCTGAGCCAAACCAGCCAGGGCCAGACCCTATACTCTTAACCATTTCTCTGTACTGCATCATAAAGATAATAAAAACAAAGGCCAATGGAATAATTAAATATAAGACCATTTCCTTTTGGATACCCTAGGGAATTAGAGTGGCGGTACCATCCATTGAAAAGAAGATCGCCCTGGCCGGTTTGGCTCAGCGGTTAGAGCGTCGGCCTGTGGTCCAGAGAGACCCGGGTTCGGTTCCCGCTAAGGGCACGTACCTCGGTTGCAGTTTGTCCCCGGCCCTGGTCTGTCGTGCGGGTGGCAGCCACTCAATGTGTTCCTTTCACGTCGATGTTTCTCTCTCTCTCTCTCTCTCTCTGTTCCTCTCTCTCCCTCCCACTCTACCTGAACAAAAAAATGGAAAAATGTCCTCGGGTGAGGATAAAAAAAAAAAAGAGAGAAGAAAAGAAGATCAACAAAATTATTTCTAGTTCCTGATCTGTTTCTATTCAGTTTCCTTTGCTTCAACAATTTTTTTAAAGTAAAATTAGTTAAAATGTTGCCTTTCCTTTTAAGCTTTTATATTCTCAAAGAGAATAAAGTTAGCATGCAGGTAACTAACAGGCAGATTTGGATAAATGTCATAAAAGATACATTCAAACAAAGCCTTCTTCTGTAAGATGAGAGAAAGAATTGAGAGCATAGCACATTGAAGATATGAAGGAAGGTGATGGGAATCTGCATGAGATGGAGAAAAAGGGAAGAGCTGAGGATGTGTTCAGGATCTGTGCCTAAGTGACTGGGACAAGTTTGGAGTCATAGCAGTGGCGTATAAGCTTGATAGCAGAGATTTTGTGTTTATTTGCTTGTCTGCTCGATTCTCTAATGTATCCTTGCTACCTAGAACAGTGCTGGGTCCATAGTAAGTACTCAATAAATATTTGTTCCATGACAGTAAATGAATAGAGAAAGTAGAAGGCAGTGGTCACCAGTTTTGGTTGGAACGATGTAACAGTGAGCTCTGGTTTAGGAGTTGTGAATGTGTGGTCTAATAATTCTGACACTGCTCTTAGCCAGTACAGTCCATAGCTTCAGCTACCACTTCATTATCACACAGATGCCCCTCAAAACTACTAGAGAAAGCAGTAATGTAGGAAACACGCTTGTCAAGAACATTAGCTGTCTGACCCCATATGTAATATGAAGACTACAAGAGAAATTATTGTTACTAAATGCAATTATATGTGTAGCACACTCAACTCAGCACTCATTAAAGTACTCAGTAAAGGCACCATTGTCTGAATTGAGCTATACATCGACTCCTTACCTAGGTGAGTTACCTTATGCAAAAGCTAAATGGTACTTTAAAGATCATCCATCTCAAGCCCTTTATTTTAACTGAGGCCAAAGTGAAAAATGACTTGCACAGGGTCATACAACTAGCTGAAAGGAAAGAGAAATAGAGGGGGAAAAGTAGGCAGGGACAATGTAAAGGGTGGGAGGAGATATTGGAGAGAGAACAAATTAGTTGGGCTTTTGAGGGCTTGACTGAATTGTACAATTGCCTTCTAAGAAAATTTGATTCTGGTATTTGCCAGCTGGATTGCGCTACCTATATTTCCCATTTACATCTTGAACTCAGCATGCCCAGATCCAAATTAGAATGACTACCTGTTGAAATGGAAAAGGATCTTAGAGGGTTCTCCTCTCCTTTTACAGATGAGAAGAGGCTCTGCACTGGGGTGGCCTCACTTCTTAGACTCAGTGTGAGTAATCAGTTGTCTCTTGGGCCACCTTGCCTAGGTTGCAGAGCATTACTTGAAGTCCTTTTGTCTTAGAGGGAGCCTTCTAAGCTCATCCTGGCTACAAAACAAGGCCTGGTGATGTTTAGAGCAGTGGTGTCTAACTTTTTTTTCCCCAAACTTCCTTTGAGTTGGATCATCTGAAGAAATCTCATATATAAAAGGAGACTAAAAAGAGGAGCTTTGGTTAACAACAAAGATTTGGATAGTTTGGGAGATCAGGAAAAGAATGAGTTTTACCTTGTTTACATAACCTTATTCCCAGAGGAAAAGGGCCTCCAACGTGCCTCACAGGTTAGGAAGCAGTTTGAAACGCAATGATTGGTAGGCCCCTTGGATCTGAAAGTGATGGTTAGCATGAATGAGAAGACCAGTGGTTTTCCTGCTCTACAGGTTCCACAGGGACTCTTCTAAATGCCTTGGGTTAATGATTTTCAGTTCTTTCTAGAATCTGAGGATTAGGAACTAAGCGGTCATTACAACTAGGGCTTTAATAAACCCTCAGCTGTAATGTAGAAACTCTCAGCAGTCACATTTGTAGTTATTTATATAGACAAGCAGCTTTTTTTGGTGAGTTAAGTTGCCTTGGAATAGATAATTTTATTAGTATAGACATAGCCCAAGAATTACTGTGACATGAGGAAAAGCTTAGCAGTAATTGGCATATTGCTCTTGCATAAGCCCCTGTAAGGTTCTGGTTAATTTTTTAAATACTTGACATTTTAATAATTATTTATATAGTATTATAATTTTGAAATTTATTTAGCAACTGATGAAGCCCTGTACTAGGTACTATGGGGAGAATAGGACAAGGTACTTGCCCTCACATTTGAGTCATGTTGAGGCAGAATGAAGACCATGACATTTTAGAGTTTTTTCCCTTGGTACTTCATTTCATTACCTACGCTTTCTTTTTTATATTATGCAGTTTTAAATCTTAATTTACTGATTTGTAATTCATCTTCATAGCTGAAAATTCAATAATTTATTTTTTTTCCAACTTATTATTAGATTGCAAGACTGGAGAAAGAGAAAGAAGAACTACATAATCAGCTATTTAGTCTTGATTCCACAACAGAAAGCAAACGAGTACAGCAACTTACTCGAGAAAAAGCCCATTTGTGTCAGAAATTAAATGTTTTAGAGGCTGAAGTAGCTGAATTAAGGGCTGAAAAAGAGAATTCTGGTGCTCAGGTAGAAAATATCCAAAGAATTCAAGTGCAGCAGTTGGCTGAGATGCAGGCTACAGTCAGATCCCTGGAGGTAAGGTTTTAATTGCTTCCTGGTAGAAAAGAAGTATGGCATACCTTTTTAAATGTGCAGTTGAGCCTCTGATTTTTAGAGCATAAACGTACGCTCACCAATCTAATGCTGATGTATTTGTGGAATCCCAAGCGTGTACATTTTTTGTAAAGAGGAAAGCTATTGCTTCATAAGCATTGAATATGCTGCCACATATATAAGGGGATTATTTCTTAATTGGGAGTCAAGTCACCTATTTGAAATGATTTAACTCTTGTAATGCCACAGAGTATAATTTGCATAATCCAAAAAAACTTTGATTTTCTGGAGACTAAAGTTATCTCAAACCAGAAAGAACTATTTTTTCCTAGATAGTTATTTCCTTACACTGGGACTTAAGATCTTAAAATCATAAATTCTGTTTAAACATAAATACCATACTTATATAATCTATGACAGCTTCTTGCCAGACTAATAACATTCGACTTGGCTACTAATGCATAAGTCTTTACTGAATTATTTTCCTGAGTTCATTAGAGAGAGATAAGAGCCTGCAGACCTAGGTTGGTAACTCCAAGAGGTACTCTCCACTGAAAATTTTTGTTTCAGTTGGAGAGGAAAAACTTTTTCTTCATCCTCTTAGGTTCAGTGATTGGGGGTTGTGAATTAAACTGACAACAGACATTAGTAAGAGAAAAGGTAGGTTTGTATTCATGTATGTACATGGGAGTTCATAGAAAAGTGTGTCACAAAGAGGTAATTAGAATTTGGGTCTTATATAACATCTTAAGTAGGGAAAGGAGAAGGAAAGAAAGGGCACTTTGGAAAAATAAATAGGTCTTTAGGACAGATGGGAGATGTGACAGTTTTGTGAAAATGTGTAGGTGATTTCTTATGATGCTGACTTCTTGTCTCTTGTGATAGGAGTCAGTCTTCCCTAGTTTGTGAAACTCCTGAGGAGGGAATTTATAATAGTTAAATTAGAAGCTCTGCTTTTAGACAGATAAAAGGAGTTGAGGGGAAAAAAAATGTCTGTTGATTCCCAAATGTTTTCAGCACAAAATAATTTTTATGCCACCTTGGCAAGATATTCTGGACCCCTTCACCGTCTTTTCAGATATGCTTACTCTTCCTACTTCTTAGTGTCTAATATGTAGCAAATATACTAGTTTAATTGTTTTGATTTATTTTGAGCAGTCCACAGTGGTTTTTATTTTTTTATTCAGATAGTTGTGAAATGATTTGAGTTGGAATGAAATTAGTGGGCACTTAGCTTGTAATTAAAATCCAAGATCCAAATACAAAATAGTGATTTTTTTTTCCCCAGCCAGCAAAGTGGTACAAGGAGTATATTGATATGTTTAGAAGATAAGTCGTGTTTTCATTTTTTTTTTTTTTTTTTTTTTTGATGAAGCTTTTGATAGTATTTACTGGTCTTGAACTGAAGTTGTCAGTATCATTGGTCTTTAGACGTGAGGCAGTTCAGAGCGAGACTGCTTATGTTACCATCCGTTCATCATTAGTGCATGTGCACAGTGACAGAATAAGTGGATGGTTGCAGTTGAATATGGTGTATGGCCCCAGTGTGAAACTTTTCATTGAGGTCATTTAGAGTGATTGTTTTCGGGACAAGTTAAATGATGACAAAAGATGGGAGGTTCATTTGTGACATTTTCAAAAGAGCCTATATTTAATTTTGTCAGAGGAAATTAAAATAAGCACATGACAGCAAGTATTTCTTTCATCTTTGACCTTTGACATTTTTATCAGTGAGCCCAGAAAGTAATTTTATATTTGAGGCAAATAATTTTTTTCTGAATTATTTGAATACACTCCTTATATTTAAGCTGTATAGAAAATGAGATTAAAACTGAAGCTTATCCTTTAAATGCCAAACATTTTTATTTTAACTATTTTGAGTAGGAATTTTTTTTTTTTGTACATGCCCCTAGTGGGAACCAAACCTGGGACTCTCTGGTCCGCAGCTGACGCTCCAACGGCTGAGCCAGATCATCCAGGGCTAGAAATATTTTTTTAAAGTATTTAGTTTTCCTTTCTTAACAAAGAGTACTGTGAATATTACCAACTAGAAATTTTTTTTTGACAACTTCAGACTTCATTAAGAATCTGTATTATGTGATGAGGTCAAGAGCTATTGAACTCTTTGCTCATACTTCTAAAGGTTACAGATTAGTTGAGGATTTTGAATTCTTATACCCGTATTTTTAAAAAATGTCCACTGATTTTAGATTTTCAGTTCTAACTATTTTTGTAAAGGAGCCCTCTCTTCTAATATGTTTTTTCATGTCTGCTGTGGCTTTGGAACCCCCATAAATGTTTGTTCGAATTGTGTCAGCAGTAAGAATAATTGGTATCAAATGAGTGCATTCATAAGAGAAATGTTTTATTTTATTGGTGGCTTGATACATTGTTTGTTCTAGATACCTTTGTTTCATATTTCTTAGAGCAAACATCCTTCATTCGAATTCTACCATATGCTTTGAGAAAAATCTTACTTTCTTTGGTATGTGTTAATATTGTTGAGATTTTGAATAATTTTGGGTAGTATGATTGCACATATTTTAAATAGTGCTTACTTTATTTTTATATAATTGTGAAAAATCATGAACGAATTTTAAAATATTTTGTTTTAATAAAAGGCTGAAAAACAGTCAGTTAAACTACAGGCTGAACGCTTGGAAAAAGAGCTACAATCAAGTAATGAACAAAATACTATTTTAATCAGTAAATTGCATAAAGCTGAACGGGAAATAAATGCATTGACTAGTCAAGTAAGTCATCTTATATTTCTACTTCATTCTTGACAATGTTTGATACTGTATAATGACAAAGAAATTTTGTGTTTAGTTTATTTCTCTAATTGAGATATTTGTATGCTATCATTCTACGTTCCAGATATATGCAGAATTAGACTAGTTCTTATTACTGCCACTGTGAATACTCCTCACTGGCCTTCTCACTCTTTGAGCAAGCTTACTTCTCCCTTAGGGCCTTTGCACTTGCCTGCCTGTTATGGTCTTCCCTCACATGTGTACTTAGCTTGTTTCCTCCTGTCTTTCAGGTGTTGCCTTATGAGAGGCTTTCCTTGTCTTCACTTTGTAAAATACCATCTCCCCCCCTCAATCTTTCTTATTTGCTTTATTTTTCTCCATAGCTCTTAACCCCATCTAATGTATTTATATTTGTTTATTTTTTTTCTGTCTCCTTTTCTTTCCCATCCCCTTACTCTAACCAAATATAAGCTCCAGAACTCAGGGACATTGCTGTTATTACTGCTGTCTCTCCAGCACCTGGAACAGTGCTGGCACACAGTAGGCACTCAGTAAATGTTAGATGAGTAAATTAATATTAGCAACAGCATCTGCATTTATGTTACTTTAAAAAGAATATAATGGTTTGAACATTTTATATACAGTTTCTCAAATACAGGATACGTGTAGGAGGAGTCCAGCAACCAGGAATAGAATAGCAATGATAGAAGTGTTTTATAGACTATTGTAGTGAATAAGAATATCAGTTCTGGAGTCGGACTAGATTCATATTTCATTTCTTCCACTTTCCAGCTGTGTGACCTTGGGCAATTTATGTTTTCTCTGAAAACTTTGTTTTCTTTTATCAAATGAGATTAATACTTACCTTACACAGTGTGACAAAGATTAAATGAGATATTATGCATAAAGCAGTTAGCATAAGATTTACTATATAATTACCCAAATATTAGCTATTATTATTATAATATTAACTAGCAATAGTAGTAGTACTTTGGGTATCTCTAAGAACTTGGAAATAAGACTGGTTACTAAATCAGTGAAATATGTATTTTCTATCAAAGCAGAGTTATATGTAAAATCATCTTAAAAAACAAAATGGCTCGCAGACCAGAGGAATTTACGGTAGCTTAATAGAAATATATGAACTTATCTAAAGGAATAATGTATTCATCATAAATTCCTTGGCCAAGGAATTACTTGAGAAAACTGAAGCACTGTTTATGACAGTTTTAGTCAGAAGGATGTAAGTACTCTGGTCCCACCATTCTTACTGTGGAAAAGAATACACCAATGTATTTTAATTTATGGCCATGAAACAATTCATCTCATTCCATTTGTTCAGATTGGATGATCACCAAGCAGCTTTCTGACTGTTATTTGACTTCCCATGTAATTTTATCTACAGGGAGAGAGTGCACTTGTTTTTCCGACTTAGGCATCCTAGTTTTCATTATAGTTTTTTCTCATAATTAATAAACTGACATTCTGATTTTATAGATCACTCTTTGTAAGTTTTATTAATGTGAGTCTAACCTTGATAGCCTTTTTTAGATGTGGTGACAAAATTGGATTTCTGTGCCTGAAAGGCCAACACCATAATATTAGAGGTATTAGATACCGCCCTTGGGAGATAGTCTACCCAATTTTCCATGGCAAACACATACTCTTTTACATTTGCAGATTATATGTATAGTGACATTTCAGATTTTTGTTTGTATATATACTTCACAGTTTACAAAGTGGTTTTGTAGTTAATATCTCATTTAATTCATTAGACATGACTGACACCAGAAAGAATAAGTGAAAATTAGGCAATGAGTTTTTTATTGTTAAACCATTTTAATTCAAGCACAGGGGGAGGAGTCTGGGTGGAGGTGGAAGAGGATAAAGGGGATAAATAGTAATGGCAAGTAAATTGGTGAAACAAAGAGCCTGAACATAAATAAGGAATATAATAGGAATTATATTTAAATATAAGAGATTTGACTAATGAATATCCAATGCAGGAAGTCCTTCAATCATATGGCTTATTCAAATGGAAAGGAAAACAGTATTTTCATTATCTTGTTCTAATCAGTCCTTATTGGATTCTCATATAATGAAATTGATGCCCACAATGTAAACAATTGGGATTTAAAATTCATTATCCATAGGTTATTAATAATGTTCACATTGATCAGCTATAATTGCTCATTTCTTATTTAACAGGAATTAAACCAGTAAATGAGAGAAGTAGCCTCATTTAAATGGAAGCCATCCAGGGCTGGGAACCAAAGGACTTGTTCTAATTCAGCCCTGGCGCAAGCCTGCCTTGCTGCCCCCATAAGGTTGCAAGGTATTCTATTTTAAAACAGGTGGGCAAATAGTCAAGCTTTCCACTTGAAATCTTAATGACTAAAAATGTTCTGTTTTGATAATAGTTAATATTTCCATTTGGAAAACAACCTGAAAAAATTACCAAACTTAGCAGTGTGTTTTTATTTGTTGTTAATCCTCACCCAAGGATATTTTTCCATTGATTTTTTTAGAGAGATTGGAAGGGAGGGGAAGAGGGGGGAGGAGAGAGAGAGAAACATCGATTGGTTGCCTCCTGCACTACCCCGACCAGGGCCCTGAATTGAACCTGCTATTCTTCCATCCACCAACTGACACTCTAACCACTGAGCCAGACTGGACAGGACAGCAGTGTATTTTTTTTATTACCCTTTCTTACCATGTTCTGTCATGACTCCTGGGAGACCATTCTTACTTTCTGTTTTGATTTTCACTATCAGTTACTGTGGTGGGGAACTGCTGGGCAGAATAAAGGGGTCCTCCAGGAGCCCAGAACACAGTCCCCAAGCAACACAGTCTGGTGCGCACCTGAGTGACAACCAAGGGCAGTTTGGCTCTGCCAGGCAGTAGGTCATTGTACAGGTTGTAAATATTTGATTTGCTCCTATGTCATCATTGATCCAGTGTTTAGATTACCACAGTGCTCCACAGATGAATAATAATTAAACACTTTGTCAGAAACAGTTGACTTCCTTAAATCAATATAATACAAATGTAATCAGAACATGTCTTGATAAAAGAATCAAAGATAATTTTAAAGGTATGACTGTGATATTAGTTCATATAATTGATACGTTTTCTGTTGAAGCAATGAATCTATTCTTTTGATACCAATATGTATAAAATGATTTCCTTTTGAAAATCACTGACAATACCCCTGACACTACTTTCCAAATTCCATTTCGAAGCAAAGTGGTCATGTTTAATATTAGGTCCAAGAGAGTGAAGATAAGCTTGGTTTCCCTTATTTTTGTTGTTAATTTGAATAGAACACCAGTTAGTATTTTATTCGGTCCTTGGTAAATGAAAGCTTAGCATTTTATAGTGGGATTAATAAGACCAAGTTATATGTGTATGATTATATGTATTATAAATAAATTCATTTGTATTTTGAAAAAAATAAAAAACAATAACTCATTTTGGAGGAGGTAATGAAGTGCAGTGCAAAAGTTCATGGGCTTTAAATCAGGTGAATCTTCCTTTGAAACCTGACTGATTCATCCCACTTACCACCTTTGTGACTTCTGACTTGCTTTACTTTTTTTTTTTATCCTCACCCGAGGACATTTTCCCATTTTTTTGTTCAGGTAGAGTGGGAGGGAGAGAGAGGAACAGAGAGAGAGACATCGATGTGAAAGGAACACATCGAGTGGCTGCCACCCGCACGACCGACCAGGGCCAGGGACAAACTGCAACCGAGGTACATGCCCTTAGCGGGAACCGAACCCGGGTCTCTCCGGACCGCAGGCCGACGCTCTAACCTCTGAGCAAAACCGGCCAGGGCTGACTTGCTTTACTTTTAAATGGGGATAATACCTATCTCTTAAAGGGTTTTTCTAAGATTCAAAATGCTATTGAACATAATAAATAGTAACTGGTGATGAAAATGATAATGGCAATGATTATATACTCGTGATATATTTAAATGAGAAAATGATGGCCATAACTCTGAGACCATTAACTAATTTCATTCTTCACTGTATCAATAGCTATTTGTATGACTTTAGGCAAGTTACTTAATATCATTGGGATCCATTTTCCTCATAGACAAAATGAGGCATTGTTCTAGCTGACCCCTTAGAATCCTGCCAGCCTACTAAGGTTGCATAAGTACTACTAGAAAGTAAATAATTTGATTGCTTCCTGGTTAACTATAAGCAAATTATTTCTATATTCAGTAGATACGTGTTGAGTGCCTACAGTGATAGAGTATGCAAATAAGTAAATTCAGGACACAGGGAGTTCTCTCATGCTTTTCTTCCAATTCTGGTATAAATTATTTCCCACTGAACTGCAGGAATAACCTGAACTATAGACAGAGCAATAAGATATTGGATAAGCTAAGTTTTACTGTGGCTTCTAACTTTCTTGGGGACCACCAAATACTTTCGTTGCAGCATATTTTACGTGAGCTCCCTGGCTTACTTGTGTCCTAACCTTGAGTTTTCTTTTTCTGTACGTGGCCTTTCCTATGCCTCTTTTCTTTTTAGAGTTAGCACATAGGCCCTGGATGGTTTGGCTCAGTGGTTAGAGCGTCAGCCCAAAGACCAAAGAGTCATTGGCTCAATTCCAGTCAAGGGCACGTACCTTGGTTGCAGTTTGGTCCCCGGCTCTGGTCGGGATCGTGCGGGAGGCAGCAATCGATGTGTCTCTCTCACATCAATATTTCTCTCTTTCTCCCTCTCTCCCCCCTCCCCCCCCTCCCTCCATGCCACTCTGTCTGAAAATAAATGGAAAAATATCCTCAGGTAACGATTAAAAAAAGTTTATTCGAGTTAGTGCATAGATGTTTTCTGTTATATTGCTGAAGGAAGAAGAGCATTTAATGTAGTAGTATTTCTCTGCTTGTTTGTTAATATACATTGCTAAGAGTTGCTTGCCTTTTTAAAGGTTTACTTACATTATTTTGCATATAAATGACATATTAAAGTCTCTTCAACTTCAGACAAGCAAAGTTTTCATTTGCAATACTGCACGTGAAAAGATTTCATTGGAAGGATACATTTAAAAATACTATTTCAAACATCATTGTCACAATTTTCATTGCGACTTGAGAAATTTTCATCAACATTATTTTGTAATTCTAGCAAATGGTTGTTTGCAGTGCAAAGGAACACGTGGAGTGTATTCAAATTTTTAAGTGTTAGCTTTTTAAAATGGGGCTATGTTAGTGTGACTATATGGCTTGGGTTAAAAAATATTACTGAAGATGGTCTGAGAATGATGACTTTAAAGCTATTTCACATTCAATGAGATAAATTTTTCTAGTTACCCCATGAGGTGCTCTTTAGAACTCCAATAAAATATACAGCTTTAAGGAAGCCTCCCACAGAGTTATCCTTATTAGCTAAGTTAATGAGGTCATACCATCTGGGACCTTTGAAAAAAATAAGAATGTAAGTTCTCTCTCTCTGGGATTTGCATTAAGATCTTCTTGAGGAATACATTTTTCATCTGTATTTCTATTTCTTGTTTACATATATTGTTTCCTGGCATGTCTCTGTATGTGTAATTGAACAGATTCTGAAGCCTTGTAAAATGTTTACTATTGACATTTTTTTTAACGTTTCTGAAAGTTTTGTTAATACTAGGTAGTAATCTCTGGATACACATGTTCTGCAGTGTCAAAAACATAAAGCAAATGTACAGTGTGCCATAATCTACATGGAAAACAGTGTGGGGAAAACCCCCAAGAAAAACAAAAACAGAGTAGCTTGGCCCATGGAGCTTCAGAAAACTGTGACTCTCTTGAAATTATATGCTGCATTTTAACATTGTACATTTTGTTTAGGAAAAGATTCCTAGTTTGCCTAGGATTTTTGAGGCCTGATCACAGAAGAAGTTAAGAACCAGGGATGTAGAGGCAGAAAGAAACGTTATGACTATTTGGCATTTGATTCAGATTACTCATAGAAAGTATGACTGTCATATCTAAGCAATAAATACTTTAATCAGTTTTTCATTTTTATTAAGTATTCTTTTACATACTCTTTAGGAAGTTAATATTAGTATAGTGCATTCATCATTTTAGGGTTATACAAATGCGGCACTAAAGAAAAACTTAAATTCACCTAGGTGCATAGATGAGTACATTTGAATGTAGAGAGGACAAGTACCTTGCTTGAGCTTGTACTACTAGTTTAGTAAAAAAGTAGACCTGAAGACAGACTTCACTTGTTGCTTGACTTCTTGTCCAGTGTTCTTTCATTTTCAATAATTATAATTTATTTGAAAAATGTTTTCTCATTTCAGTAAATGTCAGAGTGGAATGAATTAAGAATAGATTTTTATTTTGTAGTTCTTGTTGAAATTAATCAAGATTCTATAACATAAAATGGCTGTAAATTGTCACTTCATATTTAATTTTTTTAGAGAAAGAAAGGGAGAGGGGGAGAGAGATAGAAACATCAATGAGAGAGAACATCAGTTGGCCGCCTCCTGCATGCCCCGCACTGGGGATTTGGCCCACAACCTGGGCATGTGCCCTGACCGGGAATTGAACCAGCGACCTCTTAGTGCATGAGTTGATGCTCAGCCACTCAGCCACACCAGCCGGGCTTCACTTCATGTTTAAATCAGCTATAGTGTGGTTTGTTAATGAGCGACTAGGTCATTCTTAACCTTTTACAGTTAGTATGTAATAACAGGTTATAATTACATTTGTCACAGAGAATGGATTTTTATTGTAGTCAAAAATTTAAAGTACTTAGAGTTTAAATTCTGTCTGTCCATGAAATTATAATGTAGTAAAACCCAATCTACAGAAAGTTTAAGTATTTAAATAAATATAATTTCTTAGCTTCTGTCATGTAGTTAAACATTGTTCTAGGAGACTTGCTTTCATTGAAAAAAACTTAAGAAAGATTTAAAAATGCAAAAACGGCCCTGGCTGGTTTGGCTCAGTGGTTAGAGCATTGGCCTGTGGACCAGAGAGTCCCGGGTTCAGTTCCCACTAAGGGCACGTACCTCGGTTGCAGTTTGTCCCATGTCTCGGTTGGGGTTGTGTGGGTGGCAACCACTCGATGTTTCTCTCTCTCTCTTCCTCCCTCTCTCCTTCCTGCTCTATCTGAAGACAAATGCAAAAATGTTCTTGGGTGAGGGTAAAAAAAAAATGCAAAAACTGATGTCAGCACAAGATATTTATTTTATGTCATGTTGTTTAAAAATGTACAAGTTAATTTGGAGAGGGATGCATCTTCATGTGGTTAGCAGTACACAGGCAGTATAGTCCTTGCTTTTTCATTTATTTTCTTTCAGTGGGGATTTTACACCAACCATTGCTTCCAATGTTTTCAAGACGTTTCGTAGATGGAGTTTCTTTCAGTAAGGACTTCTTTCTCGTCCTTGCCCTCTTTGACTGTAGGTCCTTTTCTTGATTTCTTTCTGTCAACTCCAGTTTTTTAGATTATTACTACACTCAAGTAAATCATCCTTTATCCTCCTGTTCCCATCATCTCACGTTTCACATATTTCACCTGTATGTATTCATGGTTTTCTACTCTGATTCTATACTTTTATACATTAGTATATGTCAGAATGCAGGTTTATTTAACCTTTGTGTCTGTATTGGTTAAATCCTCCTGATAGTACTGTCTCTAATTTTAGAAGCACCTTACCAAAGGGAAGGGATATGGAAAATGTTAGGGTAGTGCAGATGATTGGAGAGAGAAAGCTTTCTTGTTTGCTGACTTATCCCCAGCTCCTAAAACAGTGCCTAGCACATAATAGATACTCAATATTTATTGAAAGAATGAAGGAATGCTGTTTATGAACTAGAATTATTCAACTTCCAAAAGGGATGTTTCAGGGAAGACAGAAAATTGGTATTGATCAGTTGATTACATGGGGAACATTGACAATTATTTATATTCACTTGTGGCTTTAAAAGAATCAGATTTATAAGTTTCATACTTGTTCCTCCCACAGCCATCACATATGTGTGCATGCACACATACATATATATATACATACATTAGTCACCAAATTCAACTGATCCTTCTTGTCAATCCTTTGCCTCTTAATTGGTTTCTTTACCTTCAGTATCTTAATTGAGTACATTTGTAATTAGAGTTAATTTTCTGAAACGACATTAATTGTACCACCTTTAATAGCTAACAGGATACACAACTTTTTTATATGGTATATAAAGTTTATTCCCTGCCACTCAGATTTTTGGTCAACCTATAACACATTTGCTTGCTTTTCAAGCAGGCACTGTTACCTTATACCTATGTAACATTTTCTATGCTGTTCCTTACACCTGGAATGCCTTCTTGTCACCAACACTCTTTTTAAAAGGAAAGATTCACTTTTATTAGGAAAAAACTGTTTTCTTGATGTCAAGTACTGTTCTAGGCACTGAAACACCGTCCTTCGTGGAAGGTGCTTACTATATACTACTGCAGCATTTTCTCATCCTGCTAAGGCGTGAGGGTAAGCAGTTAATGGCACGGAAATAACCAACAGTAATTTCAATTTCTAATTATCAACAGGTAAAAGAACTTAAACATTCAAACAAACTAGAAATAACAGACATCAAACTGGAAGCAGCAAGAGCTAAAAGTGAGCTAGAAAGAGAAAGAAATAAGATTCAGAGTGAACTGGATGGTAATATATAATTTCCCATGCTTTTTATTATTTTCACATAGAAATTAAAATTATTAAAATAGATCACACTGAATTTTTATTTTCAGCTTAATTGAATTTTAATGTTAGAGAACATATGGATTATTTTTGTTTATATGTTGGATATTCGTTCTGTGATCTAACTTTAAAAAAAAAAATCTTATGTTTATGTTATAGTTACTTGATTAATACATATATTAAGTGAAATTTTATAATGTAAATTTTATACTTCCTGAGTTTATTATTTTAAATCTGTTTAGATCATCATGTGATTATTCGTTCCAGGCCGAGTTTTACATTTAAGAATATTTTTATATAGATCCTAAGCCAGTGATTGAGCTTAGTTCAGCCTGGGCTTATTTGTTTGTTTATTTATTTTTGTTAATTCTCACCTGAGGATATTTTTTCTATTGATTTTTAGAGAGAGTGGAAGGAAGTGTGTGTGTGTGTGTGAGAGAGAGAGAGAAACATCAATGTGAGAGAGACACATTGATAGGTTGCCTCCCACATGTGCCCTGACCAGGGCAAGGATCGAACCTGCAACCCAGGTATGTGCCCTTGACTGTGAATTGAACTTGAGACCCTTCAGTGCTCAGGTCAGTGCCACAACCACTGAGACACACTGGCCAGGGGTAGCCTAGGCTTATCTTTAAACTCCAGTTTAATGTTTAGAATGTCTTTCTCATCAAGATTCCTTGACTTTTCTTAAGTAGTTAAATAAGCTGCCTGTAACTATCCTCAAGTTGGTCTTTAGTTGAAGTGGCTTCTGTAGTTTCAGACAGAACTTAGGATGAATGATGGTTTTCATTATTAATTTCTACTTGGTTGACACATGAACTTACATAGAGTTAGGGAGTCAATTTTCGTAAGAATTTGAAGAGTTTGGGATCCAGTTCTGCATTCATTTTTAACTTGGAGTTATATAAATTTTAGTTCTTCTGTCTGCAAAATATTTGTCACCTCATTACAAGAAAGATTTGTAAATTCATTGGACAAAGTTGAAGGTTTCCAATTTATATTTCTACGAGACATCTGACAATTCTACTAGAATGATAGGTTTTGAAGGGTTCTGTGATTTTATTCACTCTGTTTCTAAACAGCTTTATGATGATGTTCTCTGTGGGATTTAGGTTGCAGAACTCTTTTAAAGTGAAGTAAGTACTTAACCTCTTCGGCTGTCATCCATCCAGGTTGATGTCCCTAGCTTTAAAAATTCAAATAAATAAATGTATATAACCTTTTATTAATGTTTTATGTGTGTATGCTAAATAAAATAATGACAGAAAAAGTAACTCTGATTTTTAGTTTGTTTTATTCTTATGAAAAGTTTATTAATGTAATGATCTTTGAGAATGTATCTTCAGAGTGACTTTCTAGTTATCTTACCAGCTTATTAATGTTTGCTGTTAATTGCGATTTTTTATCTTAATAAGATTGAATCTAATACATTTTTCTCCTTAAAAAATACTAGGATTACAGTCAGACAATGAAATTCTCAAATTAGCTGTTGAACACCACAAAGTGCTCTTAGCAGAAAAGGATCGTGATTTAATACGTAAAGTACAAGCTGCCAAGGAAGAAGGTTATCAAAAGCTTGTGGTATTACAAGATGAAAAGTAAGTACATAATTACCTTATTTTGTGTTAAACCTCCTTGCGTATGAACACATTTTGCTGTTACATTATCCTTATTGTAGTTCTTGTAACATAATTATCATCTGTTGTTTTAGGCTTGAACTTGAGAACAGATTAGTGGATTTAGAGAAAAAGAAAGTGGAATCTGATGTCTGCAGGCAGTCTGAAAAGGATCAGTGTGAAGAGAAATTGCGGGCTTCACAGATGGCAGAAGAGTCGGCCAGAAGGGAACTTCAAAGTATTAGGTTATAAATATATATGTATATATATTTTAAACTTTTCATTTTGAAATAATTTCAGAGTTAACAAAACATTATAAAAGTAGTACAAAGAATTCCTATATGATCTTCACTCAGATCTCCAAATATTAATGTTAATCTTATATAACCATATTACAATAAAGCTACCAAGTTAACATTAATTAAGAAATCAAATAAACATTATTGTTATCAGGCCTATAGACTCTATTCAGATTTCACCAACTATCCCTTTTTCTGGTCCAAGATCCAGTCCAAAATCTCACATTATCTTTATTTAGTTTCCTTTAATATTAAACATTAGCACTTCGGTAGAGTGCAGGCCAGTTATTTTGTAGATTTCCCTCCAGTTTGAGTTTGTCTTACATTCTGCTAATTAATACATTTAATTAAATTCAACTTACACATTTTTAGCAAAAATAGCACCAAAGTCAAAGTAACGTGTCTTCAGTGCATCGTATCAGGAGGTTTGTTATTATTTGTCCCCTTACTGGTGATGTTAACTTTAATTACTTGATTAAAATGATGTCTGCCAGATTTTTTCACTACAAAATGACCACTTTTTTCTCTTTGTAATATATAATTATGGAGAGATACTTGAAACTAAATATTCTCATGCACGGATTTTTTTTTTTATTCTATGGCTTATAATCTTTTTTATAATTTATTTTGTTGCTCAGATTGTCTCAGGTTTGGCCATTGGAAGCTTTTTCAAGTTGTCTCCTCATTTTGGCTGCCTCCCTGTGTTTGTTTCTACGTATTACTTAACGAGAGGTATGGGGCTATCTGAGACCAGATGCTGCTTGTTTGAAAGGATTTAGGAAAACCTGAAGCAGGATCCAAGACAGGCCAATCCTATGGTTAAGCAACTGGCCTCAGCTTGGGTGGGCCTGAAAGTTGAGTTGGGCGTGGCCTCAGGGAATCACCAGGGTGGGGCAACCAGTATGAGCCAGGTTGCTGGCGTCCCAGATATGGCGGCTGTCTGTCGCCCCAGGGCAGGGCTCACCAGAGGAACAAAGGCCCCTGACAGCATGTCTGTCCCGGACAAAGCCCCCTCTCCAGCCCTCGCTCCAGTGCCAAACAGCTCAGTTCTTCCCTGCATGTCTCTGGTGCCCCTGGAGCTGCCTCCCCTCCAAACTCAGAGGGAGAGAGTCCGATAAGTCCGTGCGCGGGCCCTTTAAGGAGCTGCCTGGGGCTCCAGCCGCCTCAGCCTCCCTGAGCCTCAGTTCCTGCTGGTTTTTACAGCCAAAAGTTATGGGGACTTCTCTTCCTGGCACTGGAACCATGAGTGGGTGCCTGGTATAGGACGGGGACCCCTCAGTCCTCAGAGAGGACCTTCCCAGCCAAGGTATCCTGATTTTTATCCGCCTCACATGGGTGTGGGACCAGCCCGTCTGCCTCCGCCCCTCCTACCAGTCTGGATGTGGCTACTGCTTTACTTCCGTAGTTGTAGGACTTCCATTCAGATGGATTTCAGGCGGTTTTGAATGATGGTTGTTCTGTAGTTTAGTTGTAACTTTGATGTGGTTGTGGGAGGAGGCGATACCGTGTTTGCCTTCGCCGCCATCTTGACTGGAAGTCGCGTATATTTCTGACATGAATAATAGGTGAGTCAAAAGGTTATTACCTATGTAGTTTTGTTAGATATTTCCAATTCCCATTCAAGAAAATTGTACCACTTGCATCTCAGTGTAACTTAATTTGTATTGCTCATGAAAAATGGGATTAAACAATTGTTTTTATGTTTAAGGGCTATTTTTATGTCTTTTTGTTTAATTGTCTGTTCATGTCTTTCCCTATTTTCTATTGGATTCTTTGGTGTTTTTACCCTTGCTTTTTATGGGTTCTTATTAGAAATATTAGTCTTTTCTCTGTGAACTATGTTGCAAATACTTCCCCATTTTGCCAGTCTTTTGACTTTAATTGTATTTTTTGTCATACAAACTTTTTATTGTATAATAAAATTTATTATATCTTATTGGCACTGGATTTTATATCATAGTCTCTTCCTCAATCGAGTTACAGAGGAATTCACGTTTTTGCACTTGTATGGTTTTATATTTTGCATTTATTGAGATCCTTGATCTATTTGGAGTGTATTCTTTTGTATGCTGTGAGGTATGGATTTAATTTTACTTTGTAAAAGTTGAACCCGTTGTCCCACTTTTTTTTTTTTTTCAATCCTCACCCGAGGACATTTTTCCAGTTTTTATTCAGACAGAGCGGGAGGGAGAGAGAGGAAGAGAGAGAGAAACATCTATGTGAAAGGGACATTGAGTGGCTGCCACCTGCACGACCATCCAGGGCTAGGGACAAACTGCAACCGAAGTACATGCCCTTTGCGGGAACGGAACTCGGGTCTCTCTGGACTGCAGGCCGACACTCTAACCGCTGAGCCAAACTGGCCAGAGTTGTCTCATTTTTTTTATTAATAAAGGTGTCTTTGCCCAATGATTTTGAAAATACCTTTATCATATTTTAAATTTTCATTTATACTTGGGTATATTTCTAAACTTTCTATTCTATTATTTTGGTCTGTTTGTTCAGGAGCCACTACCATAGATGTTCTAATGTCTGATTGAGTTATTCTGTCTTTCTAGTTTTTCTCTTACAGTAGTTTATTCACTAATCTTTTATGTTGGTTTTTCCATATGAACTTGAATATCAGTATCTAGCTTCATAAAACAGTTTGTTGGTATTTTGGAGGGATTTCTTTAAATTTTTAAATCAACTTAGGGAGAAGTGACATCTTTATGATGTTTAATTGTCCTATTCAAGAACAGATTTATTTCAGTTTATTGAAATTTTCTTTTGTGTCTTTCAGGAGCGTTCTAAAACTTTGTAGTTATGACATATTTCTTGTTTATTCCCAAGTACTTAATTTTCCTTGTTGCTATTGTCAATATTTTCCCCCCATTTTGTTTTCTAGCTTGTTATTGTTTGTTTATGAAGCATAACAAGTTTTATATGTTAATTTTATATCCTAAAATTCTTACTAAAGTCTTTTACTGAGTTAGTTTTATTATGAATTACGTAGCATTTCTCAGGTATACCATCATACTATCTACACATACAGATAATTTTACTTCTTTACCAGTTCTTATGCTTGTAATTGATATATCTAGTTGCAGTGTCAAGCACCTCCATTATGGTATTGAGTAGTTTTGGAGATGGTGGGCATCCTTGCCTTGTTCCTGATCATAGTGGAAATGTCTCTTCTGTATTTTCATTAAGAAGCTAGCTTTAGGATTAAAGTATATGTATAGTTTATCATTTAAGAAAGTATCTATCAATTTTTATTTTCCTGAGTTTTTATTTTTATTTTTATCAACTATGATGTTTTAAATTGTCAAAGGTTTTTAGCATCTCTGGAGATAATAACTTTTCATCCTTGGCACTATCGACATAGTATATTAGTGGATTTCCTAATCTTGAACCAACCACAATTTCTGGAATAAAGTCCTCTTGATCTTTGTTTGTGTTAGGTGATAGTGTATTCTATTTGTTAATGCTTCTTTATGTAGTAATTGATCTGTAATTGTTTTTTTGTAATGTCTGTATTAGGTTATGAATCAATTTTATCCTTGCTCATAAAAAAAGATTAGGATGATTTCCTTGGTTTACAGTGCTCTGGGACAAATATGGGACAATGGACTATCTGGTTTTTGAAGGTTTGGTAGAATTCTCCCGTGAAACCATCTGGGCTTGTACCTTTTTCTAGGATAGTGCCTTGGTAACTACCTGTTTCCTCTATAGAAACCAGCCTACTTAAGTTCTCTTTCTCTACTGGGATCAGTTCTGATAATCTGTATTTTCATAAATTATTTATTTCATCTGTGTTTTCAAATGTATTTGCATAGAGGTCTACAAAATAGTGTTTTATTTTTTAATTCCACTGTTTCAATGCTTATTTTTTCTTGCTCATTTCTTATTTTGTGTATATGCTTTGTTTCCTCAATTACAGTTGACATTCACTATTATGTTTCAGGTGTATACTACAGTGGTTAGACATTTATATAACTTCTGAAGTAATCTCCCCCAGTAAGTCTAGTACCTACCTGGCACCTTACGTGTTTATTACAATATTGACTATATTATATTATTTACTATATTCCCTATGCTATCTTTTTATATTCCTGTGACTATTTTGTTATTGCCCATTTGTACTTAACCTCTTTACCTTTTTCATCCAGTCCCCCAACTCCCCGCCCATCTGCAATCTGCAGTTTGTTCTCTATATCTGTAAGTCTATTTCTGTTTTGATTTTTCATTTATTTTGTGTGTTAGGTTCCACCTATAAGTGAAATTATATAGTATTTGCTTTTCTCTGACTTAATTCACTTAGCATAATACCATTTGTGTTGTTACAAATGGTAAGATTTTATTCTTTTTTTATGGCCCCGTAGTATTTCATTATATATATGTACCATGTCTTCTTTATCCAGTCATCTATTGATGGACACTTAGTTGCTTCTATATCTTGGCTATTGTATATGAAATGTCTTTCTTTGTCTCTTGGTATAGCCTTTGTTTAAACATCTGTTTTGTCTGATACAGGGCCTCTTTGGATTCTTCTTGTTTAGGACTCAACTGTACTTCCTGGACTTCTGTGTCTTATTTTCTTTGCCAGGTTAGGGAGGTGTTTTTTGTTGTTGTTGTTAATCTTCACCCGAGAATATTTTTCCATTAATTTTTAGATAAAGTGGAAGGGAAAGTGAGGGGCAGGGCATCTGTTGGCTGCCTCCTGCATGATCCTGACTGGCAACTGGGGCTTGAACCTGTAGCCCAGATACATGCCCTTGACCAGGAGTCGAACCCATGACCCTTTGGTCCGTGGGTCAGTGCTCTAACCACTGAGCAAAACTGGGCAGGGCAAGGGAAGTTTTTAGTCATTATTTATTCAGGTAGATTTTTAATCTCTTGCTCTCTCTGCCTTCTGGTAACCCTATGATTTGAATGTTGGTACACTTGATGTTTTCCCACAGGTC